ACGGCTCCTAAAAGGACCGAACACACTCGTGTGACTTCTTTTCGAGCATCTTATTCCGACGCTGCTAAAACAGCAGCTTCCTTGTCCTAAAAGAGCACGCCGACACATCCCAGTGAGGTACCGGGAGGACTCGGCCGGAAAAATACGGTTAGGTGAGCCGCCCCTAGGTCGGTGGGTGTCTGACAAAGTGACATTTTTTAAACCTGCAATTTCTATGCTATTTTAATATACGCGTCTGTCGGGGGGGGGGGGGAGCAAAGCAAAAGAGCATTTTGCCAGCCCGAGGGAATTCGGTGCGAGAGAAACGATGCCCCGTGACACACATGAGAGCAATCCCGGCCAATTTCTCCCGTTTGATGGGGTCTATGTGTAAAAATTTTGACTTTTTTGAGTGCACGTGCAAATCTGCTGGAAAAGCCTGTGGAAGTTTCACGGCGTTCGTACGATATTTGGCGACACAAAAATGAGCGATTTCCCAGCTCGATGGAATTCGGCGCGACAGAAACGATGCCCCGTAACGCACATGAGAGCAATCCCGGCCAATTTCTCCCGTTTGATGGGGTCTATGTGTAAAAATTTTGACTTTTTTGAGTGCACGTGCAAATCTGCTGGAAAAGCCTGTGGAAGTTTCACGGCGTTCGTACGATATTTGGCGACACAAAAATGAGCGATTTCCCAGCTCGATGGAATTCGGCGCGACAGAAACGATGCCCCGTAACGCACATGAGAGCAATCCCGGCCAATTTCTCCCGTTTGATGGGGTCTATGTGTAAAAATTTTGACTTTTTTGAGTGCACGTGCAAATCTGCTGGAAAAGCCTGTGGAAGTTTCATCCGACGAAAAAAGCACGTTCTCGAGAAAGCAGGAGAGCTAAGTCATTCACAAATTAGCTGGATTTGGCTTGTGGTTCGTTTCCCAAGTAACAGAGCGGCATCAACCTTTAAGCGCACGCCAGTACATCCCCGTGGGATACAGGGGGTCTCGGCGGACTTTGCTCGGGGGAAAACGTCGACGTGAGCCGCCTGGCCATGCTGTTCATGGGTCTCTCCTTTTTAAGTTTCGCCTGCCAATTTATTTTCTCTAGCGGTTTTATACACTAACACTCGATGTTTTGGGAAAGGAATAAAATTGTTCAAAAAACGTATTCGCAATTCATGTCGTTAGATTGCTCTTGAAAATTCGTAAAAAAACGTACACGCCATACATGTTCTTCGCTTCCCTCTCGATACAAGTGAAGGGGAAAGACAGCCTTAACGGTTGCTAAAAAATCGCCCTTTACATATACATGGGTCGTCTTCCCCTCTCGACAACGGAGACAAGTAACCCACGCCAGGCACTGTCAGTAACTGCCATAGATCTGTCTTCTTGGTTCTTTCGGTAAAGTCACGTAGAAGGGAAGTAATAAAATAATAAAAATAAAACATAATAAAACAATTCTCACGACGTTTCGGCCACAACGCAAGCAGCCGTCCTCAGGTGAAAACCAGGTCCGTCGAGGCGACAGAGTCTGAATGAAACAGCACACGAGCTTGGAGCATATATATAAGCTGGGCGCATTGACAAAGGAATTTGCATATCAAAATGAATTTAGCATAAATTTCGATTTAAAGCTTTCGTGACTGCAGGGATTCATCTTCTTGTTTCTTTCGGTAAAGTCACGTAGAAGGGAAGTAATAAAATAATAAAAATAAAATTGTTTTATTATGTTTTATTTTTATTATTTTATTACTTCCCTTCTACGTGACTTTACCGAAAGAAACAAGAAGATGAATTTAGCATATTTATGGGAAATGCAGGAATGTGATTAGTACTGCATATGCACGTGCATTATGCAGGATTAACAGCATCAAAGGGAGCTGCAGTTACTGCTGCTGCAGCAGTTGCTGCTGCTGCTGCAGTTTCTGCTGCTGCTGCAGTTGCTGCTGCTGCTGCAAGAACCAAGAAGATGAATCCCTGCAGTCACGAAAGCTTTAAATCGAAATTTAACTGCCATAGATCTGCTTTAAAATGCCCATTCGTCTTGCATCGCTCACGTTCCCGGAGCTTTGGGTAATGTCTGAGGCCTATCCCCGCCAATTTCTACCGTTTGTCGGTAGCTGTCTGTAAAAATATAGCATGCACCAAAACGAGAAAATATTTCCATCGCACCTGCACAAGTGTATGGACAATGGCAATCTTCATGCGATGCATAAGTGGTGTGTGTCAGCAGGTGTTGTTTCCCAAGGTTTCCGTGAATGAGCGAGTATCTTGAGCTGTGTGACTCAGCCCGAGGAGCCTCTTCTCCTCCAGAGTGTGTGGGGAAGGCTGTCCCCTTGGGTTGGTGCTGCACGGGTTCGCTGCGCTGTTCGGTCTTGTGCCAAGGAAAGCTGCCAACTGTGCAAGAATTAGGGTTGGTTTCAATTGCCTTTGCCGGTCCAGAGAGTAGCGAGCATTGTAAGGCCGCTCTAGAGGTTTGCAGGCATGTGGGGTCGACCCCTGCTCCTTCCCTCCCACCCCACGT